ATTTCATGAAGAAGAGCCTCAGTGTTTTGTGAAGCAACTTCATCACCTTCAGGGATTCCTATAAGGTGAATATTAGTTTTCTTTGATTTATCTGAGAGTTCTCTGAGAGTCAGATCCGTTTTTACCCTCCATTTCTTTTGACCTTTGCATTCCTGGGCTTCTTCAAAAGTTTTGTCTTTAGAATCAGAGATCCTTTCTTCTGCGTGTTCCCCTCTCTTACAGAGGGATTCCACCATATCTTTTAGATCCTTGAGGTCTTCAACCTCTTGTTTCAGTGTTTCAAAATTTTTGATCATTTTATCTTGAAATTGTTGAGTTCCTGATACATATTTTGAATGATTTCTTGTGATATCTTTTGAATAATTTCTTAAGAAATGTTTTGAATAATTTCTTGAGAAATCTTTTGAATAATTTCTTGAACTTCTACTTCCTTCCTTTCATCCACTCTGTTGATCTTATTTGCTATCTACATTCTGAACTTGATTTCAGACATCTCAGCCATTTGCTTGTGGATGGGGTCTTCAATTACGTCTGCCCCATTTTTCCTTGGGGGAGTTGATCTACTCTGGTTATTCGAGTTGCCAGAGTTTTTCCACTGATTCCATCCCATTCTGAGTTTACCTTGTTTGGAGGCCTTATCAGAACTGTTCAGTTGGTGGCTTCTTCTGGTTGCCCAGAGAGACAGGCAGAACATGTCTGTTGTCTTCTCCCAGTTCTTGGGTGTTGTGGCACTGTTGGTGCAGTGGAATGGCAGCAGCTGCATGGGAGTGTGTGTAGCTGGATTAGACCTCGTTCAGCCTGCTGGGGCCACCAGCGTGCAGGGGGGATACAAGCAGAAGCCGAATCAGTCCTAGTTCAGCACCCTGGAGCAGCCACAGGGTGGGGGAATGGCAGCGGTAGTGTAGGGCACACGAGAGACCAGATCAGTCTTAGTTCGGCCCCACCAGAGTAGCTGGGGGGAGTGGAGGATTCCTTCACCATGGCCTGTTTGACGGCGTGCAGCATTAGGAAGCCAATCTATTCCCTCCCAGTGTGGGAGCTTGGAGTGGGAAACTCCTCCACCTCTGTCTGTGAGATGCACATGGCTCTAAGAAACAGTTCTGGTCCTGCCCAGAATGGAAGACTTCTCTACCGCTTCCTGTAGGGCACATGTGGCTCTAGCAAGTAGTTCTGGACCCACCCAACACAGGTGCCTGGAGCAGGGCACTCCTCTGCTGGCCCCCATGGGGTGTGCGTGTCTCTAGAAAGCTGTTTGGGGTCTTCCTGGAATGGAGGACTCCTCTGCCACTGCCTGCAGGACACCTGTGTCACTAGCAAGCAGTTCTGGGTCCTCCCAGAGTGGGGAACTTCTCTGCCAAGGCCCACGGTTGGCACAAGGCCCTAACAAGTAGTTCTGTGCCTGCCCAGAGTAGGGAAAGTCCTCTGCAGCCGCCCACAGCCCGGAGGAGGTGTGCGGCTCTAGCAAGCAATTCTGCGCCCACCCAGAGCCCTGGAGTAGGGATCTACTCTGCCGTCTGTAGGGTGTGTGGCTCTAGCAAGCAGTTCTGGGCCCTACCAGAGTGGAGGACTCATCCAATCCCACCTGCGGGGGTGTGCAAGGCTCTAGCAAGTGGTTCTGCACCTGCCCAGTGCAGGGGCAGTACTCTGTGGCCACCCCCTGTCTGCAGGAGGTGTGCGGCTCTAGCACCCAGTTCTGCACCTGCCCAGTACCCTGGAGCAGGGATCTACTCTGCCGCCCGTGGGGCATGTAGCTCTAGCAAGCAGTTCTGGGTTCTCCCAGAGTGGGGTACTCATCCGCCGCCACCCACAGGGGTGCGCAAGGTTCTAGCAAGTACTCCTGTGGCTGCCTGGAGCAGGGGAACTCTTCTCTGGCCACCCACCACCCGTAGGAGGATTGTGGCTCTAGCAAGCAGTTCTGGACCTGCCCAGACTCCTGGAGCGGGGGTCTCCTCTGCCACCCGTGGGGTGCGCTGCTCTAGCAAGCAGTTCTGGGTCCTCCCAGAGAGGAGGACTCATCCACCACCACCCGTGGAGGTGTACAAGGCTCTAGCAAGTACTTCTGTGCCTGCAGGGAGCAGGGGAACTCCTCTCCGGCCACCTGCCGCCCACGGGAGGCTTGCTGCTCTAGCAAGGAGTTCTGGACCTGCCCAGAGCCCTGCAGCAGGGGTCTCCTCCACCCGTGGGGTGCGTGGCTCTTGCAAGCAGTTCTGGGTCCTCCCAGAGTGGGGGACTCATCTGCTGCCACCTGCAGGGGTGCAGAAGACTCTATCAAGTCGCTCTGTGCCTTCCCAGCACAGGGGACTTCTCTGTAGCTACCTGCCACCAGCGGGAGGCGGGTGGCTCTAGAAAGCAGTTCTGGAGCCTGCTTTGTACCTGAATTTTGTGTTCTTAAATGATCTTCCATGGATTTACATCTTGCTGGACTTCTTTCTGGGCTCAGCTCCCCATCTTTGGCTTCATATATTCTGATTCAAACCATTTTTTCTTTCTTTGCTCAGGAGCCTCTGACCAGGGTTGCTACCAGTCGGCCATCTTCCCAAAATCCAATAAAAAAAAAATTTAAAGAAAATTCTTTAGTTTTAAAGAACTATACATTAAAAATGATCATCTGTTTTATCGTTGGTATTTTTTTTTTTAGTAAGTCCACTTTTATGAACTATTCTTCTATCTTTTTACTGATATTTTAACAGTTAACTTAATCTCAAGGGTGAAAATATACATCTTTGGAATGAACTTCATTTTATTACAAGTATATGGCTATTATTTTAATATAAAATGCAGCAGTGACATAGTAAAGATGCTTACTAAATAAAGACATTCTGAGGGGCGCTGCCTGTGGCTCAAAGGAGTAGGGCATTGGCCACATATATTGGAAGTGGTGAGGTCAAATGCAGCCCTGGCCAAAAACTGCAAAGAAAAAAAAATTAAATAAAAAATAAAGACATTCTGAGTATATTTCTTCTTATTTATTTATTTTTTTAGATAGAATTTCACTTTGTCACCATTGATAAAATGCTATGGTGTCACAGCGCACAACAACCTCAAACTATTGGGCTTAAATGAGTCTCTTGCCTCAGCCTCCCAAATAGCTGGGACTACAGCTGCCCACCACAATGCCCAGTTATTTTTCTCTAGCTCAGGCTAGTCTTGATCCCATGAGCTCAGGCAATTCACTCATGTTAGCCTTCCAGATGGCTAGTATTATAGGTGTGAGCTGCTGCTATGGCCACTAAGTATATATATTTTTAATTTTTTTATTAAATCATAACTATGTACAGTAATGCATTATGATAATTCTTTTCACAATGCAAGAGGATGCAAGCAGCATTCTGTGGCATGTAAGTTAACAGCTTTTAGGAGTTGCCCATTTCTGTGTAAGGCAGGTAGGCAGAGAGCAACACATTTATATACTTTATGAGATGATCCACAGAAAATCAAGTTCCATAACTGCTGACATTAGTTAAGCTAGTACTGGCAGAGAAAGCAAAAGCATAACTTGCATTCTGGTGCCTAGAATGGTCCGCTGAATGACGGCACCGAGTCTCACAAGAAATTTAGTTTATGGTTTATTAGAACACTGAATAATTTTAGTGAAGAACCGACCATTGCTGTATTCATCAAATTGACTCCATGCATGTAAACAAACGTCTTTAATGAATACTAAAGTTTTATCAGTCATTTGTCAGTCAGTAAGAGTTTTCAAGAATTTTAGATCAATCTCAATGTATTGTACATGGGATTGTGCAGGGCCCGCTTTTGCAGCATTTCCAGCCCTGCAAGCTGCAGCTCGAGTAACAGGCATGACTAAACTCATTTCCTGCCTATATCCAGAAGTGCTTTCCATAGAAATATTAGGTTAATTAAGAATTTTAAGATCTTTAGTGTTGGGAAAATTAACCCTATGCATGGATCTTGTTGTCTTTACACTTCGATACTCATAAGGTGGAGCATTAGGAATCACAGACTGACGCTTACCAGAAGCTGGATAGTATTGTCTGCTGGTCTCCAGGAATGGAGGGATAGACCTCAGATTTTGGCCAATCTGCTGAAGACGGCGGAGGAAGCAGCAGCAGAGTAGGTAGAGGCAACGGTGCAAAGAACATGTCAGTAGATGGCACTGGTGGGACAGAAAGCTTTGTTTTGGCACCACCAATCATATCATAACATTTTTCTAATGAAATTCGTTAAGCTAGACATTTTATTTTGTAATGACTTCCAGGAATTGGAGATAGGAATATCACCTTATCCCTCGTCCTCTCCCAAAATGTGTCACACTTGTTGTTGTCCGGCTCAGGCTCGGGTCCTTCATCAGTCAAAGAGATCTTAGTTAAATCAGGAATAGGCTCCTCAGGTTCACCTAATTTGGACCCAGGAGTCTGCCACTTTTTATTATTTACAAAAGATTCTAAAGCAATTTTGGCTAAATAATATGTACCTCAAACTTTTTTTGTCTATAATATTTCTCTGCTGATGAAAACGTTTTATATCTTTTCCTATCTCTTTCCATACTGCTAAATTCAATTGATTCTGAGAGTCAGGTGAAAACCAGTAACAACAATTTCTGATGGTGGCAAATAAGTGGCGGAAAGTGTGGGTTTTAACAGTGATACCCATAATATGTAATAAAGTTCTTAATAACTAAATATATTTATTCTCTAGTACTCAGAGTTACCTATGATTGAATGATTTAATGTCCTTTTTAAAATTCCTGAATTTCCCTTTTTTCTTTTTTCCTTGTGGAGAGTCCTGAGTGCTTATAGCTCAGTGGTAACCCTCGGGATCTCACTCGTTCTGTGTTTCTAAACTTAAGGTCAGTGAACAGAAGTTCTAAAGACAGTTTGACCAGGTCTCGGCCAGTTGTTGATCCTGCTCACAGTGCCAGATATTACTGTTTTTGGAGCTAACTGGTTGGTGACACAGAGGAAAGCACTGCAGATGAGATGAATAACCTGAAAAGGGAGGCTGAGGCTTGCTCTGGCACTCAGTAACTACCTATCTTTATTGATTCTCTTACATACTTTAAAATATTCGATAAAAGTTTAAAATATTAAACAGTTAAAATAGCAAAGTAAGATCACAGAAACTACCATAAAGATTCCCATTCAGTACAATTACTGTTGAGAATGTATACAATTGATACAAATTGAGAACATTTTACTTGGAGCTGAATCACAAAGGTACCAGTTTATCTGTTCTGTTAGCCCACTTCCTTGAACTAAAACTAACAATTACTGTGTTAATGAGGAGAAAGGAGCAAAGTACAACTGCTCAGTGCCTCAACAGGTGTTTAGCCTCC